CAGCAGGGTGTGCTGCTGTCTGATACCACCAAAATATACCACCAATTTTAGCCACCAATAGAATAGAAGTTTTCTTGTTTTCTTGATATTTCCTCAGAATTTTAGCTGCCTTTGCAAGAATATCATCGGCATGATGAAGCAGCCTACCACTATACCATTCCTACAATGAGTTAAGCCACTGTCAGATCTCTTAAGCTCCACATTATATTTCAATCAGTTTAATCATGTTATGCCAAGTATCACATGATAAGTAACCATAATACACTTTCCCATTTATACATCTAGAATTGTTCTTGATTTACTTACCAATACAACCCTATGATGATTTTTGTTTTCTGGAAGACAAGCATCAATGCTTTTTTTTCATTTTTAATCAAATTGCATATAATTTACTGCATTTTTCAGAGAAAACCTCATTCCCTTGTCATAAGATTCATACTGAATCCTTCAAAACTTATCTACTTCCAGAAACAAATGGATTACCAAAAAGTTACACAAAAGATTGATACTGTATATTGCAGACCCAAGGTGTTTGCATGCACCTACAAAAAGTCTTGCATGACTAAAAATAACACTAGCCCAATATCTCCTTAGTGTGTGCATTTTATTCCATGCGGAAGTTCTGGAAAGAAATGTGCATGAACAGCCAAAATAAATGAACATTTCTGTCGTGCAATGTATACTAGGCTATGATTATGCATAAATTTGCTTTCAAAATAATAAAGCAGGCAACTTCCATCAGTTTCATACAAGGAAAAAACACCCATAATCAGAAAGAAAGCTTTCCTCTCCCTCTTCAAAGAAAGGAACTCCAGATGGGAGACTGTTGTAATCGCCAGCATTCTGTGGTCCCCTATCTCCCCACTGAGGCTTTCCTTCCTTGCATGCAGCCATCTTTAGGTCGTCCATCCTAAAAGGAAGCAAGTTTGAAAATAGGGAAAATTCAACATCAACCAAATTTCCATCACGAGATGAAAGAGTCTTAACCTACATGTACTTGTCATAGCACTGGAATTCACCAATTCCAGGAAAGTTCCATCTACCATCGCCAAAAGGATGTGCAGGATACCTGTGAGCAATGTTGTATAAGAAATTATTGCACTGGATTCATACTTGTGGTTCTAGCGTGACTGTAACATACCGAAGTTCACCAGAAGGACCAAGACCAACACTAATTTCTTCCATCACACTTCCAATAAATGATTCAAATTTCTTAACAAAACTCAACATGAAATCTTCATAACATTGGACGGCAGTCCGGCCGCAGAACAGAGGCACGTGGTCAACCCCTAGTGTAAGATAATCATGATTGGACAATCCATTTTGGTCACGATAATATATGTGCTTATTGTGATCGCCAATCTGGGAGGAAAAAAAGAGCATCAGCTTCTCTATCGAAATTCAGGATCCGCACTTCTTGCTTACTGCATACATCAAAGCTGAAATCAAGTATGCCAATGGGGAACACAGACTATAGCATATTAGCAAGGATCCTGAAGAAAAGTCAATATCATGCATAGCCATCCATATGGGTTATGTTTCTTATGCTTGTAAGGGTACTGATACAGGGGAACGTGTGGATTCTACCAGTCTAATAACTTCAACAATTTAACAAAAACTCCTAGGCCCAACAGTCAAATGGGATTTGCGAATAGCAAAGAAAACAAACCTCTATGATCCAAAGCGGAAGACTTACACCACCTTTTTTGCTAGAAGAAGAGTTCATGTTTGAGTGAAAAGACAAGGCCACATGCAACTTCAACTCTGACTTAGAAACCAGTTTGAAAAGCTCTTCATATAGAGACCAATCATATGCAAGAGGAGAGGAACGCTCCACGATTCCCCACCAAACCTCAACTCCAATTCCATGGACACCAGCCAACTTGAGTGCTTTTAGAGCTACAGTTAAGGCCTTGATTCTGAAACAACAATGAATCAATGGACATATAAAGCGTTTCTGTGTCACCGGTAAAACTTGAAAGGGGAAAAAACAGTAAATAAATAAACTTCAAAATGTTTTCAAAGGCACATTTAAGCCTAAAATAGTTAGCTGCAAGCTGTTTAAAAAGAGTAGAACAATAAATTCCAGTGTGTATATGCATCATGCCCTCATCAATTCCTCTCATAAACTTTAGTATTGAGTATTGACAGTGTATTCAGCTACAAGGAAAGTAATAAAACTTACTTCCTAATCTTCGGACGCCCTGAACCGTCAATGCAGAATGCATCAACAGGCATCATTACATATATGGGAACTCTCTGATGTCTTGAATATGGCAATATGGAGGACCTCGAATTCTCTCGTGCATCCATGCTACAATACAATACATATATTCTCTAATTAATGCACAATTGTAATATCACATACGCATACGTATGTACATACACATACATACATCTCTAGATTCTCTATCAATCCAATTTCAACTTTCAAAAGCAAGAAACAAGCTCAGCTCAGAAATTTCTTGTCGAAATCAACTATATAAGTTTTCCCATTTACATTTCTTCATTTTAAATTTAATCGGCAACCAAACTGAGCCTAGCCAAGTATTCAGTTTACCACGCAAGTCTAAATTTTTTCTCTTTTCTTTCCTTCTTTTCCCGAGTTTTCTCGTGAACCAAACAAACCATGCCACTGACGAATCAATAAATTCAACAAAAAAAATAAACTATAATTGTGTGAGCAAACCTGAGAATGCTATTTCCGGCGACAGATGGGCACCGAGTAATGAGGCCGTTTCTAAAGAGAGGAACTGTCGAAACGTTTCGTAGATGGTTTCGGAGATTGGGCTTCTCGTCGAAAGTCACTTCTCTGAAGCAGAAGCTCCTCCTCGCTGTGCATTTGCACACAACTCGTCCATTGTCCGCCATTGGCTGAGAGTGCTGAGACTGAGACTGAGCAATTCTGTTCTTCCAAATAATTTGCAACTGAAAATTTTAATCAAAATTTTCTCTGTTTATTTTTTCTGGTATTTTGATCGGAAGTGGTCTTTGTGGGTCCTTCTGGCCCCCTTTTATGGCCCCAAATTTAATGAGACTTTTCTAGATTTTTCATTTATCTTTTCCTTTTTCAGCCGCGATGAGCATTGAGTTGAGACTGGGTGGTCAAAATTTCGAAAAACTATTTCTACAATTTTTTATATGCTAATATTGTTTAGATTTTTTTTTTCTTTTTCATAGAATACACGTCAATGAAGAAATCATCTACTTGCAAAGACTCACGAATCTAGTGATTTGGAGTAATTACTCTCTCAAATAAGATCTGAGTTCGAGTCATAACATCCATATTATATGTGAGTTTTAGTTTAGTGTATCATTGCTTGTCTCAATAAAAAAGTATTATATATGTATATATATATATATATATAAAATTTACCCGATTGTGGGAAAGAGATGACGAAATGAAGTGCATGACAATATATACATGTCAAGGTACCTACATGGCATCACATCTCAAAACTACACATCTATTAATAATATTTTTTTAGGATACTCCTTGCCTCATTTTCTTAAATAATGCAAATCACGGTTTGACACATGTGTAAAAATAATTTATAAGAAACACAAAAAGAAAAACTTCTACGTACATATCAAATTGTTATTAACAAAAGGCTTTTTATCACAAAACGTTTCTAATGTTTGCGAAGCTATCAGATTGCATCCTTAAAGGTTTTTTTTTTATCACTCATGGTCTCTAACGTTAATATGGGTGCTCTTAAATAGTTCATCTGTCAAAAAAACTGTTAAATCTAAGGATATAATTGTCAAATCAATCCAAAATTATATAATAGATATATAACCAGGATCAGGGAAATACAAAAAAATAGGAAATTTGGAACATCTGTCTCAATTGGCCAGAGCCCAAGGCATATATATATATATATGTCTGAAGTTGATCTGGAAATTTGACTTTTGGTGACGAAAAATTTGAAGAACACTGTCGCAGAAAATGTTTAGCCACGAAAAATCTATGAACATCCGTCGCTAAAAAATTTTGGTGACGAAAAGCTTCAAATTTCTGGGCAAAACAGCAGCTTGGTTTTTTGGGTTTTAGGTCCTTTTTTCAACTTCAAATCGTCAGATTGCGAAGATACCTCCCCGGTTAGTACAGCTTCTCCTGAATATATGAATTACTAGCACCTAGTGGATTCACCATATATGTAATCAAGAATGGTAATGACCCCTATAACAAAAGCGTGATCCATGTCTGGTGTCACCCCAACATGGTAGAGATCCTTGCTTGCCATCAACTCCTTCTTCACCCCTATCTATATTTCATTGTGATCAATAAACAAATCCAAACATTCAGAATTTCAATATAAACAAACAATGAAACTTTTTATATATTCTTTCATGAATAGGAATTATTACCTGTGCCATTGTGTTGCTTCTTGAGTCAACAATCCTACAATCTTTATCAGGAAAATATCCCTTGATCTCAAAGTCCCAGTCTTAAGTGTTTGCCTAGCCTCGATGGAGATTCTGATTGCATGAGTTCTTGCCAAACAGGAGTTTGGCTCTTTCAAACAAAAAACCAATTTAAGAAAACCAATTATATATTTTTTATAATTTTGGATTGATTTGATGATTATATCTCTGGATTTAACAGTTTTTTTTATAGAGAGACTATTTAAGAGCACCTATATTAACGTTAGGGGCCATATTAACGTTAGGGGCCATGGGTGATAAAACTTTCTTTTTTCTTTTTTCTTTTCTCCTTTTTCTCCTTTTCTTTCTTTCTTCCTCTTTCCGTTCCTTTTTCTTTCCTTCTTCCTCTTCTCTACTTGATCTTTTCTTCTTCCTTGCCTCTTTTTCACTCTCACTCCTCCTTCCTTCCATTACATGAATCCCATTAACCCACCTTTCCGGTTCCACTAATTAATGGTTGTGGTGGTTAGATTGGGTGGTGATGGTGATTGAGCTGGGTATGTGGTGGCTGCTTTCTCTCCTCTCTCTCTCTCTCTCTGTCTCTCTCTCTCTCTCTCTCTCTCTCTCTCTCTCTCTCTCTCTCTCTCCCCTTTCCCTTCTTCTCCCTCTTTCTGATTCTTTCTCTTCTTCTTCTTCCGCTCTTTTTCCTTTTCTTCTTCCTCTCTGTCTTTTTTTCTTAGTTGCAGATTTGTGTGATTATGAGTTTTTTTTTTCTTGAAATTTTGGGGCTGATTATGGTTGGAAGGAGGAGATTTGATTGTTTTGGATATAATTTCATTGGATTGTTTGCGAGGCAGAGGAGGGAGTTGGAAAATGAGAGGGAAAGGAACTTCCAGTTAGAGATGGAATTGGAATTCCTTAGGATATCTTCGTTTGTAGGCATTGCAATTGCATTTGCAGTGAATTTCTAGGCTTTGTCTCAAGATAAAAATAGAATGTGAAGGGAGTTAGAAGATAAAGCTGGAAGAAAAGAATGCAAATTGGTATCGTCCATCAGTTCATTTCATTCCTATTAATCTGAAACAAAAGAATGCACGTTCTTATGCATTCGAAGGTTGTATGGAGCCACATCCCGTTGACCAGCAAACCGGTGACGGTAGCCGTGCCTAGCAAACCAATACCATCCAAATGATATCCATACAAGAAACAATATTGGCTGCAGTAGCCGAGAAATGCACAAGGACAAAAAAGGATGTGCATGTAACTGCATCAAACGGCCCATAAGCGAGCACAGCTGCCACAGAGTGGCTAAAATGAGGAGTTACGGTAAGCGGTTATAATGAAGAGGTCCTTAATAGTTGTCCGATTCAGTGCAGAGTTATTATAATGAAGGGGCCCTTAACATCGCCCCTCGTTATAGAAGCTCCTCAGCTGCCAACCCAAGCTTTGCAAGTTTTGAACTCATTTCAGCCGAATTTGCCTGACCAAACAAACATTTGTGAAGCCTACTACTGAAAACCTAATTTTATATTTTGAAGAACAAAATCCAATTTTATCCACATCTCACCGTCTCTCACCCAGTTAATAGAATTAAAGAATGCACATCAAACAAACATTATTATAATCAATTTGGACCATCTTCACTTCTTTGCCCTCAATTCGTACTGATTTTAATTCCAACCATAATCCACAAATTGCTATTCACACCCAGAATTTTAATCACCACACCTTCCTAGCAGCATTTCTATTTTTCCTTCTTTGTTACTTCTTATTTTTATAATTTCATTAAGTTTTTGAAATTAAATTAAATTAAAAAGAAAAACCAGTCTCCGACTTTTCTGTGTTCTTCTTTACATTTTTTTTTCCAGTTCCATAAGATCCAGAGCAAAAAAAAAAGTTCAAAAAATTTAACAAAAATAAAATTTATTACATGGGACAGAATAAAATATAAAATATGATAATAAACGAATATTTATCATTCAACAACAAAAAAATGATACAAAAGAGAAAGAAAAATAAGTCTTAATAAATAAATAAAATATAAATAATATGGAAGAACAGAAAATGGAAGTATAGATGATTTAGAGAGCCAAAGCAACCCAAATGGACAGCCCACTCAAAACCCCATACTTCAAACTCGAACCGGAAGAATCATCACTAGATGGACCCTGCGCAGACTCCGGCGATAGGCTCGACGGGGCGGGAATTGGTGGGCTACCGCTTGACGGGAACACTCCCGGCGACCCTGCCGGTGTTGCAGAACTCGAAGGAATGCCTGCTGGTTCCGAGGGGGTCGCCGCAATCTCCGGAGCCTCTGCAACTGGGGAAACCCCGACCGGACTTTTTGCTGGCGCAGTCACCGGAGTCTTGGCCGGAGAGGCGACGGTGGGCGGAGGAGTCGGCGGAGATTGAACCGGGGGAGATACACTTTTCGATGGGCTCTTCGCGGGAGAAACATGTGTCGGAGGAGTTGCCGGAGAGACGGCGGGTGTCGCTGCCGGAGGAGTTTGTTGGGTTGGCGGAGAAACTGTCGGAGCGGTTTTGGGGGCAGGCGAAGGCGGGGACTGAGTCGGAGGGTTCGGAGGGGATGGCGGAGAAGTTGACGGAGTAGTGGCGGGAGTAGTGGCCGGAGTAGTGGCAGGAGGAGAAGCCTTAGAGGGTTGCGGTGGTGGTGTTTGTTGTGGCTGTGGTGACGGCGGCTTTGGCGTGGTTGTGGAGGGCTTGGGAGAAGGAGCAGGCGCATTGTCTGCTTGTACCACATTGAAATGTGAGACAGAGAAGAGGAGAAGAGAGAGTAGAACAAGTTTATGCATCTTGGGAAATCTTGTAAAATCTAACAACAAATCTCAGACTGTAATTGTTGTTGTGGGTTGAAAGTGTTATGGTTCTGAGAGATTGAGGAAGAAGGAGATGAATTTATAGGGGAGAGAGGAGGGTGTTTGTTTGGATTTTCGAAACAAATTAAAACGTTGTGAGTGAGCGAGAGAATGTTTTTAGGAATGGGTTAGAGGACAAATGAGAAAATGTGACCGTTGGGGTGGAGGGCGCGTTGTTACTGGCTATAATGGGTAAAGTAGCCGTTGTTGTTTGGCACGGTATCACTGGCTGGTCCGGTTAATTTGTCGTCGAATAACTGTAAGATACTGAGATTCGCGGTTAAAATAGGTCTGATTGGTTGGATGCTTCTTGTTTTATTTGTGTGGACTCTTGCACTCAAAGGATTTTCATTTTCTTCGTCTGAAAAAAAAAATAAAAAATTATGAGGGTATGTTCAGTTGCATGCATTATGAACATAAATATAAAAATGAAAAAAAAAAAACATAGAGGTAAAGAGACAATTGAAGAACAAAATTTAAATTATGGACGAGAGATAGATGATGAACGTGAGAGAATTACAAATCTTCTTATGTCTCGTTAATTCCATTTTTTTATATTCTAGAAATGAGCATCAATCTTATTTGGGGAAGTCCTTATTTCTCATTTTTCACTTCTCATAGTTTTTTCTTTCTTTTCTTATAGTTTCATTAAGTCATATTTTCTTATCTCTTTTAAAAATCTTAAATTTTATTTCCCATGTTTTCTATTATTATAGAATTTAAATTAGGTATTAGACGTAAACAAAAAAAAAAATTTGTATGAACTATAACCATTTATATTATATAGATGATAAAAGATTCTTAGATGAAAACAATTTCATTTAAAAGAGCTTTTTGAGTTCATAATATCTTATGATAATTTGGTATTCTCTCACTAACAAAATGGATTTTATTTTGGCAAACAAATACTTTACAAAATATCAAAATCATTTTTATGTAGTATAAAAGCACTTTTAAGTGTGATAGCTAAACATCAAACTACTTCTTTGTAGAAGCTACTAGAATAAGCGCTTTTGGAATAAGCCCTTTTCAAAACAAGCCGTAAAAAGTTGGGGTTTAACATCTTTGGATTAAAAAAAACCTAATGAGTTAGACTTGTAACATTGTGTTGTCACTATTAACCTTGAATGGATAAGAATACCTTATTTACGATTGAGTGCAACAATTATTATTATTATTGTGGGACAACAATGTTCCGATGTCTGTGGAAGACCTTTGTACCTTAAAAACTAAGAAGATAATGATAATGATAATAAGTTAGACATAGGATATGCAAATATAAGAGTAAGAAGGGTAGCTTTTATTGGGTTAGTCGGGATCCGTTATCTCGCTCATCATGTTAATTAGCGATTTGACTTGTGATGTGGGATAATTAATGAGTTGAATGCACTAATGATAAATCGAATTGAGCCCACCAGGTATAATATCTTAATTCAAAGCTAATCTTTCATTGCACATACTTTTACTGAAATTTTGAATATTATTAGGTTTTTTTTTTTTTATTTATGAAAAAGGGGGGATAAACCCCAAAGAACAACCTACACCAACATATCAGTAGAAACTAGACGGGTTCTAGTAACTGCTAGCAAATCATCAATCAAACTAGTCTGAACCCAAGCTGGAGCATCAACAAAGATAAACACTGCAACAGTTAATCTCATGCATCAACTCCCAGCAACTAGCAACTAAGGCTGCAAAAGGATGAACATCAGTAATGCCCTACTTGTGGATCAATTGGACAGCAAGTACTGAATCCATTTCAACAAGAAGGTTATTAATCTCTTTATCCACAGCAAGCTTCAACCCAAAAAATAATGGGAGTTTCACTAAAACACCCAAAATGGAGGTTGAAATTATAAAAAAACCCAACACCCAAAACACTTTATAAACACACCCAAAACCAATCATTACACACACTCAAAACCCATTTATAAACACACCCAAAAAGTTGACTTTGGAGTTGATTTTGGGTGTGTTTCTATGTTTAAATAGTGCTTGGGTTTTTTTATAAATACATGTCTAGGATTGGGTTTATTTATAAATTTGTAAAAAATAATCCCCAGATTTATGCCTCAAGAATTTGCCCATTCCCCAAGTTCACAGCAAAACGAATGACCCAATCTCTAGAGGAACTTCTAATAAAATATCCAGCACCAATATGTCCATAGCCATTCCTCCTTGACCCATCAACATTTAACTTGAACTGACCAAAAATAGGAGGTTCCCACTTTAGATCAACCTGAACTTTATGATTATCCTTACTCAATATATGAGAAGCCTCAAACCACTCATGGACAGTACGAACAATAAGTTGTTTAGGATCAAAAAGCACATCTTCATCAACTTGAAAAAATTTGTGATTTCTCCATTTCCACACATACCAACAAGTGAAGATAAACACCAGACTTCAAGGAATATTACTACAAAAACAGATATTACAATCTATTTATACACAGGGTATATGAATGTAAACCTTTCAATTACTACATAACGGAAATGTATTTACAACCTAATAATATCATAACAGCATAAACAATTACATGCTAGCATTCATTGGCTTTAAACCACTCGTTACTGGTCAGGACTGTGGTAACTGCGCAACAGGTTTATCACGCCCCTGCAAGCTGAGTGGACGACAAAGAACGGGAAAGAACGGGAAGCTTGGAGGATAAGTAATGAAACCGAAGAGTGGAAAGACCCTTGGTTACAAGATCAACAAGTTGATCCGTAGATGAAATGTAACCAACAGCTCCTTGCGAATGGCTCTCTCCTGAACATAGTGATAATCAACCTCAATATGACGACTGCGGGACTGAAATACAGGATTGGAAGTAAGGAGATTGCACTGACATTATCACACCACAAATGTGGAGGAGGAATGGGAATACGAAGATCACGAAACAACGAACGCACCCAAGACAAGGTAACAGTAGTATAAGCTAATTGACGATATTCGGCCTCCGTACTGGAGCGTGAAACACCTCGTTGTTTCTTGGAGCTCCAGGAAACAAGATTATTACCATGATAGATACAATACCCTCCTGTAGAGCGACGATCATCTGGATAACCGACATAGTCAGCATTAGCATACGCAGTAAGACGTAACTCACCAGGCTTATATACAAGACCATGATCAGAGGTAGACTTGAGATAAACGAAGAATCCATTTGACGACGGCCTAATGAGTTGTCGTGGGCGTGTGCATAAATTGGCAGACTTGATGAACGGAAAAGGCAATGTTTGGACGTGTGTAAGTAAGATATTGAAGAGCCCCAACCACACTACGGTACTTAGAGACATCAAATAATGGGTCACCATCATGCAAACTTAATCTGCGACCACCAACAGCAGGAGTAGGCAAGGGTTTGCAGTCTAACATCTTCGTGCGTGTCAAGAGATCCAGTATATATTTGGACTGAGATAAATGCAAGCCTGTGGAGGTTCGTATGTTGGAATTAATGCACTTCCTTCATTATTTAGAATATCTCTATTTATTATAGCAGTTGTAGCTGTCTTTAATTAATTTGGTAGAGTTCCTATGCAATGTCTTTTAGGTTCTCTAGGAAGCATTCTCTAGAATATTCGTTCTTTTTAAAAAACCCTTCGAGCTTATCATTGTAAAAAGAAGCTAAGTGAATCAAAATACAAAGAGCTGTGCTGAAGCAGCTCATATTTCCAACACTTCATATTTCATTACAAAACCAACAACTAGTATCAGAGCAGCGTTCGATCATATCTAGGCGTTGAAATCAATTCTAGAAGATGTCATCAGAAGCCAAAGAAGGTCCATCAGTTTCCTACTTTATTCTCCCAATCTTTGGAGGTGGAAATTATGATTTCTGGAATGTGAAGATGAGAACTATACTGTTGTCAGAAGGACTTTGGAGCTTCGTTGAAAGAGGGCTTCAAGAACTAGAGGATCTAAGTCAGCTTCCAACAGCAGAAATAGAGAAGTTCGAAGCAAAAGTCATGAAAGATGCCAAGGCTCTCTCAAAGATTCAGAACAGAGTCACTTCAGACATTTTTCCAAGAATTACAAGAGCTAAGACAGCAAAAGAAGCCTGGGATACATTATAAAAGGAGTTTCAAGGTGACAGCAAGGCCATAACAATCAAGCTATAGACTTTGCGCAGGGAGTTCTATAATATGAAGATGAAAGAATCTGAATGCATCCAAGATTATGCCTCCAGACTAGCTGAAGTTGTGAATGAGAACAATTGGTGAGGATATCTCTGATCGGAGGGTTGTTGAAAAAATACTGATCAGTTTGCCTGAAAAATATGATCCCATTGTTGCTGCTATTGAAGAGTGCAAGGACATCACCACCTTATCAATTGAACAATTAATGGGTTCTTTAAAGTCTCACGAGCAGAGAAGGTTGACACGAAATGATCAATCTGTTGAGAGTGCTTTCCAATCACAACTAAGTTTCAAATCTCAAAAGTCCTCCAAGAAAGGCAATTCTAAAGATGACCAGTGAACAGGGGAGCAAAGAAGGTGGAAGAAAGAAGAATCCAGCAAAAGAGATGAATCCAAGTATAGGAAAAGTACGAATTATGATGATAATCAACCTTCCTGCAGGATTTGTAACAAAACAAATGATGATACATCAAATTGTTGGAACCGTGGAAAGCCAAAGTGCCATCATTGCAACAAATTTGGGCACGTTGAGAAGAACTGCAGATTCAAGAAAGCAAACCAAGCAAATTTTTCTGAAAGCAAGAATGATGATGATGGAAATGAGAACTTGTTCTCTACTTGTTTATCTGCCTTTGAGGAAAAAGAAAGCATCTGGTATCTTGACAGTGGATGCAGCAACCACATGTCAGGAAATGAAAATATTTTTCTTGATGTGGATACTTCAGCTACTCCAAATATCAAAATGGGTAATGGTGCTATTGTGGAGGCAAAAGGAAAAGGAAGAGTTGCTATCAAAACTAAGAAGGGGGTGAAGCAGATTCATGCTGTCTTGCTTGTTCCAAAACTAAGTCAAAATTTGCTTAGTGTTGGACAACTTGCGGAGAATGGCTATCGTCTTGT